ATTTATTCCCAATTATTTTCGGTAACACTTTATTTTAAAGTGTCCTTGTTACACGTTACGTGTACTTAATATTATAATAACAATTAATTATGCATAATTACATGCAAGTAACCCTAAGCCTAACCCAAATCCTAACCCTAACCATATAGTAAGTACATGTAGTTAATTAATATTACTCAGTACTTATCTTGTATAATTACACTGTAACAAGGACACCTTAAAATAAAGTGTAACCTTATTTTCTAGCAAGGTAGAAAGGTATAAATATTAATTTCATCATTTATTTTAAAATGCAATATGTTTTAAGGGTTACTGCTTTATAAATTTCCATTGTGTTCAGTCATAAGGGGTTTCATGAACAAGCACTGGAGATGCTGAAACAATGTGTTGTGCTCTAAAAATTCAAGAAATAAATTCAATCTCTTAAACGCTTATGACTTTGCTTCAGAACACTTTCTCCTTCCCTTGGAGAACACAAAAGCATAGCGTGATGCCCCAAAGGAGATCACAGAATTCTCTATAGAGTATTATAGAATGAAACTAATGGCTCCAGGAAAGCAGACACTTTTGCAGGACCATTACAACGTCTCCTTCACCCATTAAGATGTTCCTTATAGTGGAACAGAAGAGTGCTGACTAGGAAAGCATGAAGGGCACCAAGTCTTTCACAAGGTGATCACTTCCAGCAGAAAACTGTCCCTACAGTAACTGTGTGGAGCCTGTCTCATTTATGCGCAGTGCTGGGACAGGGACACCTTGGGTAAGCTGTGGAGTCAGCAGGCCCATCTGCAGAAACATCTGTCTGCCTGCAATGAGCTGGCTGTAAAGGAGACTTCATCTCCTTTGACAGACACATGCCCAGTAAAACACAATCAAGCAACAATCAGATAACGGCACATTTGCTAAAATTAAAATCGTTAATTGTTGTTATATAGATTTTCATTCAGATTTAAAAATACTGAGACACATAAAATAAAGCATACATATATGCACACACACATATTGAGTAATGAACTGTAATGAACTGCAATCACAGTAATGAACTCAATACAAAATTATGTATTTAAGAAATATTTCATATTTATATTATAATAAAATTACTCAATATTTTGACAGACGGCGTTCTACAGTGAGCTGGAAAAACAACTGAATAGTGAATAGTGAAAATGTATTTATTTACCAGGGGGTTCCCAAAAGGCTGGTTGAATTTATGAGGACTTGTTCTAATGATTGCCAAGGCCATTTTAGATGAATATTAAATGTGTTCAAAAATGGGGATCTGGAGACCTTGTATACTACAACCTAAAAACCACACATAGCATTCACATATACTGTACAAAACATACACTCTCTATGTACACTACACTCACTTTCTATTCCACACACACACACACACAAACACACACACACACACACACACACACACACACACACACACACACACACAGAGTCAGCCAGCCCCTGCAGCTGAAAGGGAGCGCTACAGTGACAAACAGCTCTCCTACTCCAGAGTTGGCAGGAAATCTATCACGCTGGACAATAAAATTGCAATTGAGTTTCTTTAGCATTTTTTTTCCTCAGCAGATGCATGTATCTCTCTAGCTCTGCGCTGCTGTACCTTTCCCGTTCATATGCACGACCCACTTTTCTGTTTTTAGATTAGAGCAGAGACGCTGTAAACAGAACACGACCTTACCTGCATTAATCTTGTGCAATTATAGCGCAAAAAAGCAATTACAGGCTTGACCCATAGGAAGGGGAATGATCAATTTGTGTGCACTTGCTCAGCAGTGAGCAACTTAAGGAACGCAAGCACACTCAAATATAACATGTCCGCATGAAAAAGAGTGAAAGCAAAGCACGCTGCAATACTTTAATGCTGCTCAGTCCACCCAGAGATTATGTTTTATTTTATTGCGTATAATATAATGTGACAATTAACTGTGGGTGAATGAGAATTTTTTTTATTTTATTATGTTTTTTTTAAGGTAATTTTATTACATATTACTATTAGTACCTATCATCATTATAATTTTTTTTCTTAAATGCATTTCAGCATGCTTCTGAATTAAGTTTGGTAGCACAACTTCTTCCCCCCTTGAATTAATCACTTCTGCTGGTATTATTCTCATTTGTAAGTCATTATGGATAAAAAGGCTGAAAATGAATAAACAGATGTAAATGAACCTGTTTGTTTCATTTTTAGGAGTTTCTCATATGAAATTAATGAATTACAAATACATGAGTGGTAAAATGCAAAATATATTACCAAATCAATTATAAGCAATTTAAGACTAATTACAATGCAACCCATTTGCACAATACACATTCTTTATGAAATATAATTGAAAGTATAAGTCACACTACATAATACGTTTTTGTGTGTGTGTGTGTGTGTGTGTTTCTTTCTCATATTTAAAGTTGAAGTGTGTAATTTGTCTTTGTAAAAAAATCTCAATTATGAGATTAATATGCAGAGACAACTGTCAGTAAACCATTTGTAGCAAATATGGCAAAACCTTTTACTATGAAGGGCCAAAATTCAAACTTGATTATGGGTCGCAGATTGAGAGTAAATGTTGCATAACATCCAACTATATTATATAAAATTCACTTATATTTCCTAAATTCTCACTGCAAAAATAAAAAAAAAAAAGGTTTAAACAAAGATGAATTAGAAATGAAGACTGATTATTTGATGCTTCGGTGGCCTGTTGTTTTTTTTGTTTTGTTTTGTTTTTTTTCTCGCTTTTGAGAAATTAAATGGCCAGGCCAAATAAAAGGTCGCCACTCACCTATTTTGACTCACGGGCCCTGGTTTGGGCATCCAAAGTTATGGTTTATTTTGTATAATTTATATTGATTTTCCTGAAAACTCCCTTAATCACTGTGGCTCTGTGGTGCTATCAAGACATTTCAAGACGTTTATTTGAGCATCCTGACCAGCCTGACATACAGTAGCAACATTGGCTTAGTCAATGGCATAGGTCTGTGGAAGCTGTTAGTCCAACCAATGGGAAACCTGTTTGAAAACAATCATTATTTTTACAATTCCATTTGGTGACACTTGTAGCAGAAATAACCCACTTGAAGTCAATCTCAGGCTGTAATAAAGCTGCATATGCTGATGAATGAGCACACTGGGCACTACACGTATCCCTGTTTCTACACATCTCACTGCATAGCACAGCTGCGCCCCCAAGTGGCCAGTGACAAGAACTCAAGCAGAGTGGAGGAGAGCCAGAGTCTGACACCAAATGACTTCACTACTCTTGGAACCATGTCCATATCACAATATCAATAGAGCATCTTAAAATAGACATTTCTGAAGCTAGAAAGCTCAGAAAACTGAGAGCTCTCAAATACATTAAAGAGTCAATTAAATCTGTAAATAAAGTATGAACAGAGGGTTAGGCAGTGGAGGGAAATACAGATTCTAATCTGAGAAGTCTAGTTGATTATGGAGCGTAATAACAGTCATGTTTCTGCAGTGAGAATCCAGTGGATTACAGCTGACGCAGAGAGGCTGAGCACAGGAGGGAAAACCAACTAAAAGAGTGCAGTCAGTGTTAAAGAAAGGAAGAGAGACATAGTGATGGACGGAGACACTAGAGAGAGAAAAATAATAGGTTTACATCAGTGGCATGACTTTTGACACAAGGAGGCAAAGTCATATTTTGTTCCTATTTAATGTCAGCACATATGTCTTATGAAACCTACACTAGCAACAAGCAACCAACACTATAATATCTACTTTTATATTAAAATATTTTTGTCGTATTATATAGCATGCTATTTGTTCAAATTTATACATTATTTAAAAGTTTGCAGTCAGCAAGCTTTTTAATGAAAGTAATTAATAGTACTATTCCATAAAGATGCTTTAAATTGATCAAACTACACAGCAAAGACTTTTACTTTGTTACAAAAAAAATCAATTTCAAATAAATGCCGTTTTTTTCTACTCATCAATGAATCCTGGAAAAAAATGTAGCATAGTTTCCACAAACATATTAAGCAGAATAACTGATTTCCACATTGATACTAATAAGAAATGTTACCAGAACACCAAATATTAGAGCACCAAATATCAGAATGATTTCTGAAATGTAGCGGTGTAATGGCTTCTAAAAATCTGCTGTGCCATCGTAGGAATAAATTACATTTTAAAATATATTAAAATAGAAAACAGTTCTTTAAAATTGTAATAAATACTTCACAATATTACTTTTTTCCTGTATTTTAGTTTAATAAATAAACACAGCCTGGGTGAGCATAAGAGACTTCCTACAAAAACATTTTTAAAAAAGTAGTGCATATGAAATTTGAAAAACAGATATGTGACCCTGGAGCACAAAAGCAGTCTTAAGTCGCTGGGGTATATTTGTAGCAATAGCAGCAATAGCACATTGTATGGGTCAAAATTATCGATTTTTCTTTTATGCCAAAAATCATTAGGATATTAAGTAAAGATCATGTTCCATGAAGATATTTTGTAAATTTCCTACTGTAAATATATTAAAACTTAATTTTTGATTAGTAATATGCATTGCTAAGAACTTCATTTGGACAACTTTAAAGATGATTTTCTCAATATTTAGATTTTTTTGCACCCTCAGATTCCAGATTTTCAAATAGTTGTATCTCGGCCAAATATTGTCCTATCCTAACAAACCAAACATCAATGGAAAGCTTATTTATTCAGCTTTCATTTGATTTATAAATCTCAATTTCAAAAAAAAATTGACCCTTATGACTGGTTTTATGGTCCAGGGTCACATATATGCATGTTCATTTGTTACTATTAGCTGCTGTTTGGTTATAATAATAATAATAACAGTAATAATAATTTTTAAATATTTTACAGGCATATATCCTTTCCTGTGTTGTATGCACCAAGTTTTGTGAATTCATGTAAATATTCATGACTGCAAGTAACGTATACATTTACTACATCCATCCATCCGTGTGTTGTTTTGTGTGTGCGTTTGGGTCCTGACCTTGGAGTGCGTGATGGAGAGTGTGTCCACCCACACGCGCCAGCCGCCCCACTCATACTTAATGGCGTGATAAAGGAGGATGCGAAAGATGGCGTACACCATCTCTGTGATCTTCTGCTCCTCGCTGTTCTTGGGGTTTATAAAGCACAGAGACAGCATCCACTCCTGCCACACCGAGCATTGCAACAGACTCCTACAGAAAAGAGCAAGTTTGTAAAAGAACAGTACTCATTTCAGAGAAAATACTACTGATGACGAGCATGATCAAGATCTGGCACTGGACTCTGTCTGTCTGTGTGTGTGTGTGTGTGTGTGTGTGTGTGTGTGTGTGTGTGTGTGTGTGTGTGTGTGTG